ACAGGAGAACCAAACAGGAATGCAGGAATACAGCCCTTCTCTGAAAGAGGTGTTGGATCATTTCTGTGGCTTCTTTTTCATTCCTATTACGTGGCAAATAACAGGGGGCTGGGGTTAGTGTGGCAGGGGTGAGAAAGGCATCACTCATACTGCTTGAATGGGTCCATCACTCATTCAGTCAACTTAAGCTTGCTCTGAGCCTCTATGTACTGAGCATTAACCCCTGGAGGAGTGGCTGGATCTCCCGTGGGTCCCAAGGGGAAACAGGACATGTTCTGCAGGACACACACTGGCAATGGGCCCATTGGGGGTTACAAGCTGCAGGGTGGGGTGGCAGCTACATGCCACCCAAGTGACTAGAGAGGCTGGGGGCTGGTATCCTAACAAAGACAGGAGGTCAGGGAAGCCCTCGGTGCAGAAGCTAGGGTCCGCGGACTGCAGAGAAACACAGCTCGGGAGCAAGGGAAGAAGGACCCAGAAAGCCAGCACAGGAATGCCGGGCAGCAAGTTGGAGCATTCTCCACACTTGCAAGAACAATGGAAACAAAGTCAGGCCCCGTGGGGGTGGTGGAGGGACTGCTGGAGAAAGGAATGTAAGTGTTAGGGCCAAACACATTCGTCTGGCAGGGCACTGGGTGTCTCTGATTCCCATCTATTAACACACACCCCTAGGGAAGCCAAGGCAGATGAACACACACACACACACACACACACACACACACACACACACACACACACCACTAATGAGGGCTTAATTTTCCAGGAGTTCTTTCAAATTTCTTATATATGGAAACTTCTTTTACATTGCAAAACAACCACAAAAGCTAGTACCAATACATTAATCTCCTTTTTGCACACGAGGAAACGAAAGCACAGAAAGTGACTTGCCCTTTTTCCCACAGCTTCCATGTGGTACAGCCCAGAAGAGGACCTCAGCAGTCTGTTTTCAATGCCATTCTCTTAACTTCTGCATATTCCGATGCATCATTTGATTTCCATATGACTTTTTATGTTTTTCTGTAAGGGTGTTAAAGTCTAGGATTTTGGGGAGGTCTGAGTATAGTTCTGGTGACAGTGGGTACCAATGCGATCTAAAAAGACAATCTATGACTTGGCAGTGAGTGTAAGAATAAACAGACCTTGCCGGGCAGTGGTGGCACATGCCTTTGATCCCAGAGGCAAGTGGATCTCTGTGAGTTCGAGGGTAGCCTGGTCTACAGAGTGAGATCCAGGACAGGCACCAAAACTACTCAGAGAAACCCTGTCTCGAAAAAATTTTAAAAAATAAATTAATTAAACACACACACACACACACACACACACACAGAGGAAGGAAGGAAGGAAGGAAGGAAGGAAGGAAGGAAGGAA